CAAATTTATTTGGTTGGACAACACACACTTGTTTCTTAATTGAAACATGAAACTTCGCAGGCATGGATGTCGATTGTGGCTCATTCTTGATGAATTATACTGGCAGAGCCGTTCAACAGAAGAAACTTTCTGAATCTGACTTAGACAGAGCCCTTCACAACCTATTCTCTATTCGAATGAGGTTGGGACTGTTCAATGGTGACCCAACAAGGCTTGAATATGGGAACATTGGTCCAGAGCAGGTCTGCAGCCAAGAGCATTAAGATCTAGCCCTTGAAGCTGCTAGAGATGGCATTGTGCTTCTAAAGAACTCATATAACCTCCTCCCCCTACCTAAGGCAGAAACAGTCTCCCTTGCTGTAATCGGGCCCAATGCCAATACTTCAGAGACCTTTGTCGGAAATTATCATGGCCTTCCTTGCAAGAATATTACAATTTTCCAAGCACTTGGGAGCTACACCAAAAATGCAGTTTATCTTCAGGGGTGTGATGGTGTAAACTGCACTTCATCTGCAACTGTCGAAGCACTTGGTGTTGCACAAGAGGCAGATTATGTTGTTTTAGTTATGGGATTGGACCAATCCCAGGAAAGAGAGGAGCTTGATCGAACAGAGCTTGTGCTCCCTGGGAGGCAGGAAACTCTCATAAAGAACATCACACTACATGCTAAGAATCCAGTAATACTAGTGTTACTTTCTGGTGGTCCAGTTGATATTTCCTTTGCCAGAGATGATCCAAGAATTGGAAGCATCTTATGGGCAGGTTATCCAGGAGAAGCTGGAGGTATTGCTTTAGCACAAATCATTTTTGGCGACCACAATCCAGGTAATGCTTAAGACAACAGTGGTGTCTCTGTAACAAAAATTCCTACTTGGATATAATTACATTACATTACATACTTTATTGCGTCAACAATAAGGGGACAAATCCAAAAATTTGACAGATTTCCAATTTACAATGCAGGAGGTAGATTACCGGTAACTTGGTATCCAGAAGATTTTATTAAAGTTCCAATGACAGACATGAGGATGCGATCTGAACCTTCAACAGGCTATCCAGGACGCACCTACAGTTTTTACACCGGCCCAAAAGTGTATGAATTTGGCTACGGCCTTAGCTACTCCAATTACACTCATGAATTTGTTCATGTCACCCCAGATAAGATCTACATAAACAAGTTATTACGCCCTGCTAAGGCCATCAAAAGATCAGCCACTGATCGTTATGCATTAGTTTCTGAACTGGGAAAAGAATTATGTGAAAGCAAAAAGTTCTCAACTAAAATAGCAGTTGAAAATCGTGGAAATTTACCTGGCAAGCATCCAGTACTATTATTTGTCAAACAGGCCAATCTCACAATTGGGAGCCCTCAGAAGCAGCTGATAGCATTCCGAAGTGTGAGATTAGAGGCAGGAGAAAGAGCTCACATTGACTTTGTTCTGAACCCTTGTCAGCACCTAAGCAGAGCTAACAAAGATGGTTTATTGGTGATTGAAGAAGGATATTACCACCTGATTCTGGAAGATAAGGAGTACCCCATTAATGTGGTATTGTGACAGTTGGAATTCTATGCCAAATTGCTGCTGAGAATAAGGTGCATTAACATAGATTACTGAAAATCTGCTGCCAATTATGGTTTGAGCAATTCTCCTGTGGCAGTTGCACATGTGCATTAATTTTTTTTCCTTGTTCCACTAATGGCTGAGCTTTTGGTACTATTTGAAAGCAATGTGTTTCAGCAATTTGGATAAACATGCAGATTTACCTTCAAAATTGGGCTTTCTGTTTTTTGGTAATTTCTTTCCTGGTTGTTCTGATCTTTGCTTTTACAACAAAACCTGTATTAGCTTGCGCTCAAAACAGGTCATGTACATCCTTTAATTGGACACAATTTCCATTCTTTGAAGAGCCTATAACCATATAAATATATCAACAAATTAATTCTCATACGTCTGAACATGTACTTCGTTCACACCGGAAAGAAGAAAGTACTTAGACTAATGCATGGTGTAGATTTTCTTAATCCAAATATTAAAGAACAAGAGTCAATCCCTGAGTAAATCAGTCAAATTAAATTCCCACCTGGAAAACAAAGTCAAAGTAGCAGTTGAACTTTATCTTTCCTTTATAGATCTTGATTAATTTACCCATTCAATCCCACAAAAAAAAAGTGCTAAATCAACAAAATATCGATGGTTGTAAGTTGTTGCGTGCTTCAAGAAGGGCAACTAAGTCATTCACTCTCAAGACATTGAATAATCAGAACAAAAATCTTAAAGTTCCCTTCTTTATGGCTTTATATAAGGCATTCCTTTCCTCGTCTCTCACTTCCCTGCTTTACCATCTCTTACCAGCTTTAGCTCATCTCTTTTCATTTCTACCATTAATCTGACAATGAATCTCCATAGATGGATAGTCACAGCTCTCACCATTCTTCTGTTTCTTGGAACATTCCTCTCAATAATTGACTCAGCTCAGCCTCCATTTTCATGTGACAAACTCAACTCCCAATCAGATTCTTTCTCATTCTGCAAAACAACTCTGCCTATCCCCGCCAGAGCCCGTGACCTTGTCTCCCGCCTGACGATTGATGAAAAAATCTCCCAGCTCGTTAATACAGCACCTGCCATCCCGCGGCTCGGTATACCCGCCTACCAGTGGTGGTCAGAAGCTTTGCACGGCGTCGCCAATGCCGGACCTGGCATTACTTTCAATGGAAACATCAGAGCTGCCACCAGCTTCCCTCAAGTCATCCTCACTGCTGCTTCATTTGATGTTCACCTTTGGTACAGCATTGGCCAGGTATTAGCCTTATGCTACTACATTAATTATCCAGTTAGACAATTAATGGACCTTTGACAATTAATGCTAGCGTAATTTTTTAGATCAATGTTGACAACCATCGACAGTGTTTAAATCCTAATATTTTTTTTTTCATTTTGGTAAACTCGGTAAAGACAACGCATTGCAGATTGAGTTAGCACCTATCAGCATATATGATTTGATTAACGTGTTGCAATTTTGAGCTAACCTTTTTGGGCATATGACTTGATTAATGCGCACGTTTTTTGGAAACAGGTGGTTGGGAAAGAGGCAAGAGCAGTGTACAATGAAGGGCAAGCAACGGGGATGACATTTTGGGCACCAAACATCAACATATTTAGGGACCCCAGATGGGGAAGAGGGCAAGAAACACCTGGGGAAGATCCAATGGTGACGGGGAAGTATGCAGTTTCTTATGTTAGAGGAGTTCAGGGGGACAGTTTCCAAGGTGGGATGCTGAATCATGGTGAACTTCAGGCCTCTGCTTGTTGCAAGCACTTCACAGCCTATGATCTTGATAATTGGAAGGGAATCACCCGCTTTAGCTTTGATGCTCGCGTAAGTGTCTCTGTCTCACCAATGCCCGTGCTTTTAACACTTTTTACCTCCCATAATTTCTTGTACTATATGATTGTAGTGTCTATGTCGGCAGCTTTAAGCTGTATGAGTCTGTCTAATCGTTTCTTGCGGGGATGATAATAACAATAATAATGTTGTGGGCTTCAAGGAAAAGGTTAGTTAAAGAATTGCTTTCTTGATGGGCAGTGGGCACCTTGAGTCGTGTCACTCTGTCCTTGAGATAAAATATGAGTTTGGTGCCAGAACTTGGTTGGGTTTTGTGTCTTAATACGGCATACAGTAAATTTTTGGACAGTAAAAACAGGAGGGATTATAAAGAAGATACCGTGAATACAATATTAATAACTACAAAGAGTACATTCCTTGTTCTTGGATGGAAATGAGAGGAAAGTTCATTGTGTTTTTTTTTTTTGTCTTGGTTAGTCAGAGTCGAGGCATGATTACTAATGTAATCCTCCTTGGTCTAGAAGAGCAAAGTGCAACCAGGATAATTAACTAACACTCTTGTCTATTAAGGATGAGAAAAGAGCTCTTTTAAAGGTGAATGAAAAGTAATCCATCCGAATGAGACAGATTCTTTTGTTAGTAACCAGTTTGTGGACGTAGTATTAAGATTTCAAGAACCTAGTGATGCTGAAACTCTGGGAATATATTCTCCTCCCCAATAAAACAGATGCTGAAACTAGGACCAGAAAGAATCTTGGGTTTATCTCTCATGCTTTGCTCTTTCCCTGCTCTTCTAACCCAACCCAATTTGTGGGTTTATCTTTAGGTAACCGAGCAAGATTTGGCTGACACGTTCCAACCCCCCTTCAGAAGCTGCATTCAAGATGGCCAAGCAAGCGGTATAATGTGTGCCTACAACCGTGTCAATGGGGTTCCTCCTTGTGCCAACCACGATCTTTTGACCCAAACTGCCCGTAAACAATGGGGTTTCCACGGGTAATTGTTCCCGCGAATTACGCCATTGAACATTGCTGCCGAGGGGCTTTTCATGAAATTAGCAATGCATATAATAAACGGTCTATTCTATTCTTACTGGTAGCATACAAGTGTGGAAAATCTAACAGTCTTGTCAGCATGTAATGATGTGATATATATATATATATGATATTTTTTTTTTTTAAAACAAAAAAACTGATTAGAAAATTTTTCGTGGAATGTTATAATCCAAACATGCTCATTTTCTGGTAAACGCCCATGAATAAAAATTTGGTTGGGGTGTTATCAGGTACATTACATCGGACTGCGATGCTGTGTCCATCATTTATGAGCAGCACAAATACGCGGGAACGCCGGAGGATGCTGTGGCTGATGTGCTGAAAGCAGGTAAGGATGGACACCTTTCGTCCTCTTCGACCATTATTTACGCATTGCTACTTGCTAGTTGATTTTGTTTGCCCCATTTTTAGGGGATAGGTTTTTATTTTTTATTTTTTTTATTTTTGATGGAACAAGGGGATGGATATTACATGCTAATGCCCCATTCGGATTGTTATTTTTAGAAGTTTTTTTAGAAAAATATATTGTATTCATTTGATACATATATAAATATATATAAAGTAAAAAATGATTAAAAGAAATATGTTCACTAAAGGGAAAGGAAAACGTAAAAATTTTTAAAGGAGAGGGAAAATGGCTTTCACTCTGAGATGATTTTTTTTTTTTTTAAGACCACCACATGTTGTGGCAAATTTTGGTCGGAGACAAGGGTTGAACTCTTGGTCTTTCACACCACCCGGACTGTATAATCTTGGTGGTGACCACCCCGCCAAAGGCCCCGTGACTCTCAGAGGTGATTTGTTCACTTAGACTTGTCTGGGCCCAGACGTTTCAAGATTAGCTGGCTTCTGGGCCCAAAATGATAGTGACTCGTTGCCGGAAACAACAGGATTACTGCTCCCAGCTGGTCCACTATGGCGGCTAGGTTTTGGATTCATATAGGAATGGGCTGTCCGTCCATTAAAGTACAAACTTGTGCGACCTGCAACCAACTTGAAAACAAACGCATTTAGCGCTAGCATAGGTTCAGATTGTACGACTTTTATGCATAAAATTAGTTTCTCCTGCATAAACCCTGCAATGAAAGAGACCTCACAACAGCATTTTCTTTCCTGTGATTCAACAGGAAAGGCTTTCTAAGTATGTGAAGGACAACATGATAGACTACCAGACAGACTATTTGATTGATCAAGAAATCAAACTAAAAGAAGTTAAGCCTGAAAGTTGATCTAGGTTAGGTTACATATTCTTGATGTACTTTTTTTTTTTTTTTCTAAGTTAAGCCTAATTGATCTTGCTAGGATGCCAAAACAAAAAGAAATGCTTTTCAAGGACAAAGAGCAACTAGAGTAAACAATTAGTATATAGTAGAGTAAATAGGAAGTTTAATTATAAGTTTATGCAATCGGTTCAAGTGAGCAGGGTGGTAGATTTTTAATTTTGTGCAAACAAAAATTGCAGGCATGGATGTCAACTGTGGCTACTACCTGCTGAACTATACCAAATCAGCCTTTTTGCAGAAAAAGGTATCAGAATCTGACATTGACAGAGCCCTTCACAATCTCTTTTCTGTTCGAATGAGATTGGGACTGTTTAATGGAGACCCAAAGAAACTGCTTTATGGTAGCATTGGTCCGGATCAGGTCTGCACCAAGGAGCACCAGGAGCTAGCGCTTGAAGCCGCTAGAAATGGCATTGTTCTGTTAAAGAACTCTGCTAAGCTCCTTCCCCTTTCAAAAAAGATCACGTCGCTGGCTGTTATAGGCCCTAATGCAAATAATGCATTCGTAATGCTCGGAAACTATCAAGGCCCTCCTTGTATATCTGTTGCAGTTTATAAAGCACTGCAAGACTATGTTCCAAACGCAGTCTACCATGAAGGTTGCAATGCAGTCAATTGTACCTCTGCTGCAATTGATGATGCAGTGAATGCAGCAAAAGGAGCAGATTATGTCGTCCTAGTCATGGGGTTGGATCAGGGAGAAGAAACAGAGCAGCTTGATCGCGAGTCTTTGACGCTTCCTGGTCAACAAGAAAGCCTGATTACAGCTGTTGCTAATGCTGCAAATAAGCCAGTTATACTAGTCCTGCTTTGCGGAGGTCCAGTTGATGTAAGTTTTGCTAAAGATAATCCAAAAATAGGAAGCATCTTGTGGGCTGGTTATCCAGGCCAAGCAGGAGGGATTGCACTCTCAGAAATCCTGTTCGGCGACCACAACCCAGGTGAAAGCAATTAATTGCTTTTAGTGACAACTGTAGCAAAAGCGATTGTTAGCTTTAGCAAAATCAAAGGCAATAATATCTCATTTTCGTTTGATTCCTGTACAGGAGGAAGACTGCCAGTTACTTGGTATCCGAAAGAATTTGTAAATATACCGATGACAGACATGAGGATGCGGCCTGATCCGTCCTCAGGATATCCAGGGCGCACATACAGATTCTACAACGGCAAAAAAGTGTTCGAGTTCGGCTATGGCCTTAGCTACTCAACCTATTCCTATAACTTTGTAAAGGTTGCTCAAAGCACTCTCTACCTGAATCAGCTGTCAGCTACTGCTCAAGTAACAGCTACAAGCTCGAATGCAGCTCGTCATCTTGCAGTGTCTGAAATGAACAGAGACTCGTGTGAGAAGGCAAAGTTCTCTACTGTAGTAGGAGTTGAAAACTCAGGGGATTTAGCAGGTAAGCATCCAGTGCTGCTATTCGTTAGGCAAGCGAAAGCTACTAATGGAAATCCAATCAAACAGTTGATTGGATTCCAGAGGGTGAGCCTAGATGCAGGCGCTAAAGCTGAAATTGAATTTACTCTCAGCCCTTGCGAGCACCTTAGCGGTGCCAATGAAGATGGCTTGATGGTGATAGAAGAAGGATCTCGGTATCTCGTTGTAGGGGACAAAGAGTACCCTATTAATGTTGTCATATGAAACCAACAAACTGGGCTATCCTTACCCCTCACATTGGATTTTGGCTCTCCAGTTTTGGGGTTACAGATGAATGATGTTACAGGGGACATTGTTTTCATGTGAAAACATCTATTACAGAGGATATTGTTGGGCCCCGAAATCTTGTAACATGCATTTTTGGGGCAATAAAAGGACGAAAATTTTATAGGTTCTGATCAGTTGGAATTACTATGTCTTTTCTCTCTGCAAGTTATTTTCTTTGTCTAAGGATGCCGCCAAGCCTAAAAAGACTTTTTTTTTTTTTTGGTCAAAAAGACATGAAGTAGCTCCATTAAAAAATACCGGTCTGAAGGAGATAGCTCACAAAAATCATCAAATTGGACCATCCAATTCTTACAAATAGCCGGAAAAGATTGCATGCGGCAATGGTATACAAGCCAATTCTTAGAAGTGCTACTAAATTGTTATGCATGGAAAACATCAAGCCTCTATGAATATATTTTCTTGAAGGGATTTTCTATTCTGTGCCCTTAAGGCAGGCACAGGATAAGCGTATAAAATATAAGGGATGGATTCATTTCAAGTTTTAAGCATTATCATCTATCCCTAAAATCAAGAAACTTTAGCAAAAAAATTTTAAACTTTTTCAAACAACTAACATTTGGATCCACCTCTTATCATGTGACCTAAGTGCACAGAGTAGAAGAACCCTTTCTTGAAACCTTTTAATGTGTAATCGTGAAATATAATTTACTCATAATTATTAGGAATTTGGTAATTAGACGCTTGAAATTTCGGAATCCAGTTACGGAATGTTTTTTTTTTTTTTTTTTTTTTTTGGGTTATATCATTGGCTGTAGGATATAAAAATTTGAAAGCTCGAGGGCAGGATTGATTTTCACTAAATACAGGCAGAGGTGAATACATTGATCATTCTGAAATTCGTTACATGATTAGTAAACTGTTGTCCTACAGGTCTCACTACGACAATGGTAAGGTTCTTGCCATGAATTTTGAGAGTAACATGCAATGTTTATCCCAAAGAAAAGGGAAAAAAAAACTGCAACGAAGTGCTACTAACATTTTCTGAAGTATATTGCCTCAAAATCTAGTTTTCTGGGAGAATTAATGTTTAAGAGGAAAAGTTAAATCTTATTAGCTTTGCGTGAAAATGGATTTTTATCAATGACGTCTAAATGATATATTCTCCTTTAGGTTAACAAATGAGTGGAAAATTAATCCGTGTTGTTAGGCTTCTCAAAAGCTCGGGCTTTCATACTTGTAAAAACATATTTTATTTCTTAAGCTTAAGATAGTCCCCAAAAAAGATTAGCAGTTGGTACCAGGGGGGAAAAGAATGTGAACTTTGGACCCCAACCAGATTACTTTTTGCACCAAGAATTAATTCATTAATAGTAGATTTAGGGTCTATTTGATAACATAAAAAAAAGTTGATACTGAGCATTTTCAGATATTCAGATATTTTGAGTGTTTGAACATTCAGATGTTTTGAGTATTTGATAAATGAAAATCCATCTGTTGAATTTGTTAAACAATGCTGAACTTGTGTGTATTTATTTCAGTACAAGAATCATAACTGAATGTTTAATTCTCATAAGAATCAATAGAATTACTTCAACTACCTTATCTTATCTATCAAATCTACCCTTATTTGTTAATTATGTTCAAAATTATTATCTAATTAAAAAACCTGATATTCTCTGTCTAGCGATTTTCTGTTTCTCTTTTCTCCGTTTTTAATGACTTTCACATTGTCACCATACTCCTCATATAATATATTTCATCTTTTACATTACTTTGATTTAAAAATAAATATTGTTATTTCATACCTAACAATTTTAAACTAATTAAATCATTTGTTCTATTTCTTTTTTGAATGAAAATATATAAGGGCAAAATTGTCAAATTAAAATTATTAAGCATTCAGTTATAAATATTTACCAAACAGTATAAATAGGTTTAGTATCAAAACTTAGATATTCATATATTTTTTTTCAGTGCTTAAAATTCAGCAAAATAATTGTTTCAGTATTCAGATTTAATTTTATTAAACGAGAACCTTAGTGGTCATATCTGGACGAATGTTAAGCTAAAATTAACTCAACTGGAGAAGCAAAACAGCTGAGAAAGACTAGACAAAATTTATGCTATTGGAGATTCAATTCCAAACTTGCTCTTCTTCCGTTAGAGTTGTGTGGTTCTAAGTTTGGTCTGGACCATGCATGTGCACGAATGGCGAAAAATGGCAATCAAGGATGGTGTATCTGACGAAATGGCAACAATGAATTATTCCAGATTTGGCTAAGAGCTTCTGTGGTCATAAATTCATTATCAGATCCTTCATTATCTGGAAAACAAAATTACTGAGTCAAACTTCATTGCATTATTACGTACCGTTTCGCGGATTTGGACGGCTGACAGAAACAGGCAGAGTAAGATGAAATAAGAGCAGGCAAATTAAAAATGAGAAAACTTGACTCGCCTAATAACAGTTTTATGAAATATATATTGGAAGTAAAATATATGCATTAATAGAGCTTCCAAAGGATACGAGGATTTGCCCCATACATATTGTTTTTAATTTCTTATTAAAGGCCAGCTGTTCATTGGATAAGATCTTGAGTAGTTGGATAAGGTAGGATAAAACGATGAAGATTTTGTTGCAGAGTGACAATCATTTGTTTTAGGGTAAAATACATTTTATCTTCCTATGATTTAGCGATTTTTCATATACGTTTCCTGTAATTTCAAAAGATATACACGATACTCTCATGATTTGGATTAAAGTGTCAAGATGACCGAAATGATCTTCTCTAATGGAACCAACGGAAATGCCGTCGAGATTACCATTGTTTAAAAATTATAATGATTGGGATAATTAAAATAAATAAACATAATATGCATGATATTTTAATCTCTTATAATTTTATATTTTACCACGTAACCCCTTTATGATTTAGTATTTTACCGTATAAGTCTCTTATAATTTTTCAAAATATATACATAATCTCTTGTAATTAATAAATAATTTCTAACTTGATGCGAGGGAACTTTTGACATTTTAATTGACTCTGTTATGGGATGCAAATTTCGTCATTTTGATACTTTAATTCAAATTATGAGGGGATTATCCATAATTTTTGAAATTACAGGAGAATTATGTGAAAAAATAATTAAACTGAAGGGGGTAAAATGTATTTTACCCTTTGCTTTATTCTGCATTTATTCGAAATATGAGTAGAATTCCTCGACACAATAAAACAAAAAGGATTGGGATGAAAAGAATTAGAAAAACCCGAAAGAAATCAAGAAGCCCGACAAGATGTCGAGTTGTTACAAGATTTAACTTTGGATATGTTCGCGGTCTAGATAATCACTCGAGTCCATGGAAGAGTTCAAAATTTGGTCAATATATTGGCTAGAAAATGAGATTATTTTTGTGCTTCAGATGACCAATCTAGCTTGCATCAATCAGGAAACAAAAACTACATACTTCTAACCGTAATAAAATTACAAAGGCACCAATTCATAGTTGTGTAGTAGTAATTAAAACGTAAAATGTTAGGACAATTTATATTAACCTTGCCTAATTATCACGATTACAGAGATTTCTTTCAGAAAAAAAAAAGCTTTTAATTTCCAGTGAC